TTGTCCTATCCTATTTAACAAGATATGAGTCGCTTCTTTGCAGTGGAGTCTGTCCACAAGACAAAGCTCAACATATTTCTGAGCTGTATTTTGTAATTTATGTAGCATATTTTATTTATTATCCTAAGTGTCTCTGGTCTATCATGTTTCTTACTAATAATGGGAAATCAGTCCATTTGAATGTGATACTGAGAGATTGGATCTTACATTCTTACAAGCAGTGTTCCCTACAATGGTTTATTTTTTCTCATCATTGGCTCTTCCTCCCACTTCTCATGATATTTCTATACTACAATAAAGGACAGAACAATAAATACTATTTCACTTAATATCAAAACAAAACAAGACACTCCTCCCAGTTCATGCAACATGCAAAGCTTTATTTCCAAGACACCTTATTACTCTACAGCCTAAATCATCTCATATACTATATTCATCATTTTGAAGTCAGTCACTTTCACATCTGGGAGGGCAAAAGATAAAAAATCAACCAGTCCTCCTGAATCCCCTCTTGCATGACTACTGCATGGGAAGGTCACTGACTTTGGTTCCCCAATGGTAGCTCCTAAGGCAACAAGGGTTTGCCACAGTTAACCCGTGAACACTAGAGGGCAGCAGGGAAACCAGTGTAAGCATCGCAAAATATTTTAGCAGAACACCAGGTGGCAGTGCTTCAGGAAAGAACTTTCTTGATATTCGGAGTATGCTAGAGTCTGATTCTCAAGGGAAGAAAATACAGAGTTAGATAAAGGCTTCACAAAGTGGTGACATTTGAATAAAGCCATGAAGGAAGTTTAGGGATACACCATGCCGATATTGGAGTGAATCGCATTACAGGCAGAGAAGACAAAGACAAGGGGTAAAAGTGTTGATACGGCAACAGGCTCAGAGCATTTAAAGAATCTTATCTATTGCTTCTAATGTGAAATCAGGCATAATTCTTAATGATGTTTCACAAAACATATGTATCCATTTTCCCTGGGTATTGGCAAGATTTTTTATTTCCAATTGAACAGGCACTCTAAACATGGATTTGCCTTTTGCTTCTACCAAAATCACAGTAGTAGACTTGGCAGAATTCCTTATACAACTTATAGCATTCCACATAGCATTGTCCTTGAATAAGAAGCTCGTTTTATAGAGAGTCAAAGAGAGCAGCGAGTGGAGATGATTGCTCTGAGCAAAGAGATTTTGCAATGGGTAATGGGAGAAATTGTTATAACTGTCAGCTACAATCATGAAATCATTTGCAGAAACTAGGACTAAAATAGATAAGAAAATTTCTTTTTCATTTTGATATAAATATATTTATAAACTATATTTTATAAATAAATAAAAAATGTATTAACCATTTTTTTACTTCCCTTTCTTGTTTGCCTACCTGTAGTAGCATAAGGTGTGTTAATAAAAATTAATCTTATACAGTATCTCTTTATATCTCAGTAGTTAAACTATAGGATATCAATAGGAGAATGTAACTCAGCTAGAAGAGAAAAGTATACCACTGAGAGATGGATAAAGCCTTTGTGTTCACTTTGCAAGAGAAGGTTAGCTTGGTTTTCATAGGGCACTGTGGTTGCTTGTACTGACTCAACTCAACCATCTGAAAACATATTTTTCAGAATTAGCTTCCCTGTATTGTTCTGCATGAGACTTGTGCCAGCTTTCAAAGGCAGTAGTACAGCAGCAGCCATATATTTTATGTTCTGCAGGTTGGGTCAGGGCTCCAGCAACACGTGTTGCTGCTGATCTGATAGCTCATCTTCTTGTTGCCCCAGAACACCCCCAGCTCTGCCGGATCTCCTCCTTCAGCTTCTGCTTGTCTTGGGTCAAGGAGGCGTGCAGCATGATGGCAGTGACACTCACTTTTCCTGAAGGTCACCCGCCGCTTTGAGATTGAAGGGGGCGAGAGACAGGCACCTTTTAGTTTGTCTCCGTGGGCTCCAGTTGTACTCGTGAGTTCTAGTTTATCCTTACAAAACACAGTGGGTCCGTGCTTTTGCCCACATTCCACTTTCCTTCACACATGTTACTCTAGCTGACTAGTAGCAAATTCAGGCTCACTACCAGATGCAAAGACAACAGCTTCGTATGGACTCCTCCACCGGCTCCAGCAATTGCATGAGTTCTGATCCTTATAATTATTCCCTATTCTGTATCACTCGAGGTGGTTCTGCCGCTTAGACCATGCCCTAACTGACACAGCCCCTAACAGGAAAGGGCTAAAAAAATTATTGTCATGATTGTTCCAGATAACAAGGCCCAGATGTGTGATGTGTCTTTTTAAGACTGAGAATGTATTAGAAGAAAGGTACACGGGACACCTGTTTTCAGATGTCATAGAAGGAGGTTTTACCCAGAATTAAAACTTCTGATCCAGTCCGCAGATTAAGCAGCTACTGTCTCTACCAATTCGTGCCTGGAACCTGCAGGTGTCCATTTCAGCTTGGCTTCTGGAGCAGTGGGAGGACTCTCTGACCAAACTCTGGGGTTTTTGTTCAGCTATTACCCTTGTTTTAGACACTGTGTCTTCCTGGAGAGCGCAGAAGTATTTTGCTGAATCTTCCAGCTGTAAGGCTGAAATGCTGAAGCTGATGGTTTTAGCCGTTTTCTGTAAGTTTACGGAATAGCGGTCACTGCGTGCATTCTTACCAGAAGAATGTTGACGAATAAGGAAAATCATCTCTCCACTTGCAAGCTGTTTATACCAAAAAATATAGTATGAGCTCAGGCTTGTTTCATACTGACAGTTCAGGGTGGCTTCTGCCCCCTCTTGCATGAATATGATTGGCTGGTCTTGGACAACTTTCTGGGCCACGCTGGATCCTATGGGGGGGAAAATCAGAAAACAGAGCTGATGCAGTGAACAAAGTATTGTAAGTTTTAGACTAATTTAGAACTGATAGGCAAATTAAATTGAAGGGATAGTCTGCTTGTTTTTCTCTCCTCCTTTCCTCTTCTCAAGTCAATAAGAAGCAACACAGGCCTGTGTGCCATCCTTTCATCCTTAACATTCTTGCCCATATTTGAAAAATCCCTACCAGAGAAGACGAAGGCCACAAATATGCACAGCAGACTGCAGAGCGGCATGTGGCCTGTGGTCTCCTACACAAATGTGTCTTGTTCTGCCTCGAGCTGCAGCACGAATATACATCTTTCCTGGGTTCCGATGGTACTTCCCCAAACAGGAAATAGGGTTTCTTATGTTCATCGACCACATGATCTATGCACAGATGAGAAAAGACTCTAGCTCACTCTAAACCTTTATTTTGTCTGCTTGTCTTTCTCTGGTAATTAAGTGAGGCAGTACCTAAAAAGGTGCATAGAAAAATCAGCTAGTATTAAAGGTTAGAGCTGAATGGAACTGAAGATTGAACCAGCTGAGATACATTGACAGTTTTCAGGGGAATAATTTGTGGAGCCCATGTAAAATAGAATTTAGTATGGAATGTGAGCCTTCCTTGTAATCTGCTTACAGGTCACTTATTTAGCCCATACTTACTTTTCTCCAACCTTACTCCACTGAAATTTTTAATAAAACAACTCTCAGATTTTAGATTTTTTCAATGCAAGGGAATCCTATCCAAAATTTTTCTTCTTTACTGAGTTCCTGGACTCAGAAGAGGATAAGGATATTCAGGCCTGTTGTGTCCACAAGTAGAATTGTACCTACAAGTTCATATGTCCTAGAATTGTCTTGATGTCACATTGTCTATCCCAGTGGTCCAAAGTGTTCAGTCTCACTTGTGAAATTCCATGGGTGGGCATTTTATTTTATTTGTAAAATAAAGTCAAAATAAGCATGCCAGATCTCTCTGTGACACAATGAAATAATCCACTCCCACGTAATGTGATCACTATAGGCTGCAAGCACCTAGTATATCTCAACACCCAGAAGTTAATGGCTGAAGTATCACAGGCTCTTACATGATAATGTGGAACGTAGTTGTCAAATCTTCCACTTGGTTCCATTGCTGTAATGGACAAATTTATCTAAAAGAACCAAAATGCAATAGACAGCTAGAAAAGAAAGTACCGACATGGTTTCTAGAACAGTGTCAGTTCTTTGGTACTGAGGTCAAAAGAACTTATCAAAAAGTGGTACAGCGAAGAGAGTTTATAATTACTTGAGGCATCTACTTCTCTATCCCATTTCACCTCTCACTGCTGACAGTATTCACTGCCCTGGTTTGCAATTATTTGTACTTAAGTGGAGGAGATCGTGAATACCCACAGCATCTGGTGAGCAGCATGGCATAGGATTTTCCACTTGCTGAAATGGCCCCTCTCCGCGTTCCTGATACAAGGCCCCTTTGCTGTATGGAACAGATGTCTGTGAAACGTAGATTCTGGCTGGGTCAAGTTCGAACAGGTTGTGACATCCAGGTTGGGAGACTTGTCTTATCTTAAACATTGTTTTACCTTTACTTGTGATTTAATGATAAGTGATTAAATCTGATAAAGGACAAGCATAAAACTTAATATTGAAGGAAGTATTGGAAGGAGATTTATTACTTAAAATTTCAAAGTTGAGTAAATTAACATTTGATAAGATCTGAAGTGCTTATCTGAAACAAATTTATTGCTAAACATGGCTATAGTTGCAACTATTCATGTTTTGATTATTCTCTTGCCTCCAACCCGATTCTAAGGTGGAATGTGCTCGCCTGTCCTTGGCTTCCCTACAAATAACACATGAGACGTCAGCTCCTTTCCTTCTCACATTGCCCACGAAACCAGGAAAACTGGTAACTTAACAACAAACGTCACTCAGACCAATGATATCAAAATAGGTTTCTGACTCCTATAATCTCTCCAGAGTGTACTGAAATACAAAATAGTAACAGCAGTGAAATCATATTTATTTGTAATGTAACTCTATGCTTCATTTCTTAGAAGTTCTAGGGAGAGAAATGCTGTGGGGCTTCTAAATTTAAGTATTTGGCCATTTCGTTTCCACGAAGGGACGTGTATTGCTTGGCGCAATTCTACAATTCTTATTGTTCTTATCGTGAGGACAAAATCTGTCCCCAAAATCTGTTTTACCAGTGAAAATATTCAAAACTATGAGTGGTATAAATGTTTTTCAAAATAAAATTATTATTTTCTTTGGGTCTTGAAGGAATAATGCTACTTCTCGATTTTATCCTGAAAATTCATCTAGTCAAGGAGTTTATGTCAAATTATCATTTTAAAAAATATTATTTTGATTTGATTACCTCCTAAAGGAACCCAAATGAGAATAATTGAGTTATTCTATGGGAAACCACCCTCAGATTCTCCTTGTTTCTTTTACAGACACCCCCCTTAACCTCAGGAAGCAACAGAATCACTACTAATTTTCCCATATCTTTTCTATTCTTTCATCTCGGTCATGACTGCCCTCTAATGCTAACCTCACATTCCACCCTCGGCATTTTCATCTTGTGTATTTCAGCCCAATGAAGATATTTCAATCACATATACCTACTATTTCCAGCTTCTTAGCCAACTTTTCAAACTACTAAAAAAAAGAGAGAGAAAAAGCAAAACACACTTTGAGAGCATAGTTTTTAAACTAGAGCCGCCAAGCTGTACATTACAGCCCCAGAACTTGTAACTGGAAGATTGTTCTTTTTTACCGCCTTCACCGATTTTACCCAGTTACCCAATCCCTGCCTTTGGCTACCAGGAATCTCTTCTCTGCACATACGAGTTTTGTGTTGTTTTTTCTTTTTAGATTTTTACATTTACGTGAGATCGTATAGAATGCGCCTTCCTTTGTCTGACGTTTCATAGCATAATGCCCACAAGGCCCATTCATGTCACCAAAACCCACAGGATTTCCTTCTTTTCACGGGTGAATAGTATTCCATATACGCCACATTTTCTTTATCCAGTCATCCACCAATAAACACCTCGGTTGTCCCCACATCTTGGCTAATACAAATAATGCTGCAATAAACAATGGCAGTACAGATACCTTTTCGAGACACCTTTTCATATTTCTGTTAATCACTTACATGTTTTTCTTTGGAAAAATATCTATTCAGATCCTCTGCTCCTTTTTTAATCAAATTTTTTTCTATTGAGTTCTGAGTTCTTTGTATTTTGAATATTAACCCCTTATCACATACATGATTTGCAATTATTTCCCATATTTTTGTTATATGGTTCACAAACACATCTCACTATATATACTTCACTTTTAATTTAGTACTGGGACACACACACTGGTTAAAAATTCCCCTTTTGACCTGGCTGGTGTGGGTCAGGCAGTTGGTCATTGTCCCCCGCTGTCAACAGGTCACTGGTTTGATTCTAGGTCAGGGCACACCTGTGGGTTACAGGTTCAGTGCCTGGTCAGGGTGCAGACAAGAGGCAACTGATGGATGTTTCTCCCTCACTTTGATGTTTCTCGCTCTCTCTTTCTTCCTCCCTTCCCCTCTCTCTAAAAATAAATAAATATATCAAAAATTAAAAATAAATTCCCTTTCTATTACTAAGTCTTTAGAAATTTTTATTTCTAATTATCTAAGTACTTTAATGATCGTAAAACTATTTGGTTTTCCTATTTCTTCTTGAGTTACTTTTGATAATATTTTTCTACTAAACTGTCTCTTAAAGGTTTCAAAATTTATTGGTTCAAGTGTTAATGACTTTTCCTTAACAAAATTTTAATTTCTACTGCATCTCTAGGTATGTCTGCTTTTTCATCTTTCTTATGATTCTTTTTATTAGTTTCCTGACAAATTATCACAAACTTGATTGCTTAAAAGAATACAAATTTATTCTCTTACAATTTTGATGGTCAGAAGTTCACAATCTGTTTCACTGGGCTAAAATCAAGGTGCCAGCCCATCTAAATATTCTCTGGAGGCTGTAGGGAATAATCTGTTTTCTTACCTTTTCCAGTTTCTACAGTCTGTCCTAATTCCGACATCACAAGGCCTTTTCTCATTCAGCTTCTGTTATCACATCGCCTTCTCTCCACTGACTGTATGCACTGCTTTTTCTTATAAGCACCCTCTGATTATATTAGGCCCACCTGGATAATCCAGACAATCTTCTCATCTTGAGATCCTTAAATAATCATGCCTGCAAAGTTCCTTTTGCCATATAAGAAAAAATGTTCACATGTTCCAGAAACTATGATATGGACACCTTTGAGGGTCATTATTTAGCCTACTACATTAAGTATTTTCTAATTATTCTGTTATAACTATTATCAAATGTTGTTCTTTTTTCAGCTCATCAAAAATAGTCAACATCAGATTTCATCATTTATTGCTTTCTTTTTGTTGCTGTTTGACTAATTTTGTACTTTTTTTTATTAAAGCATAGTTACACGGTGTAATAACTGGGTCAAAAGTATAGAGTTACAAAAGTTCAGATTTATAAACCATACCCCAGCAAGCTATAGAATATTTCCTTCACTCCGCCAAGATCCCTTGTGCCCAACCCCCAAAATTTCCAGCTCACAGAGGTAACTATTATTCTGCATTATTTCACTATGGGTGACTTTGCCTATTTTAGAATCTTTAAAAAATGGAATCCAACGGTATGTTTTCTGTCCGGAATCTTGCTGGCATTACATTATTGAGGTTTATGCATGTTGTTATGGGTATCAATGGTTCTGTCCATTTTATAGCTGACTGATAGTCCATTGTATGTGTATAACACAATTTATTTGGTCTGTCATTTGTGGACATTTTTCTCTAGTTAATTGCTATTATGGATAAGCTGCTATGACCATTTTCTACAAGTCTTTCTGTGAACACATGTTTCCATTTCCCTTCAGTAAATGCTTAGAGGTAGAATCATTGGGTTGTGGTAGATGTGT